GTGAGCGCCCCCTCCACAATACGCCGCCAAGCTCGGGAGCAGAAACGACGGCACGTAATCTCGGGACTAGCGAGGACGAAGAAACCCGTAGTGCCAATTAATTATTATTGTTGAAAATATTTTATATTTTTGTAATATTCGAACAATTTTTTTTAATATTTTAATTTTATTTTGGTTTTATTATATATATATAATATTTTATTAATATATTAATATATATAAATATAAATAAAAAATAAAATAAATATTTAAAAATAAAATATTTATTTTTAAATATTTATTTTATTTTTTTATTTATTTTTTGTGTTTTCCAACGGGTTTTCCAACGGCGATCCGTTGGAATGAATTTTCAATTCTAACGGACGACCGTTGTAAATACCGTTGTAACATTCCAACGGAGTTTCCAACGGAAATTCCAACGGATATCCGTGGTAAATACCGTTGTAAATCCGTTGGAATATTTCTAACGGATATTCTAACGGTCCCATCGGAAACTAGCCACGGACATCCGTTGGAATTTCCGTTGATATATTCCGACGAACATATCCGTTGAAATTCCCTTGAAAACATACCACGGAAGAACCGTTGGAAATCCGTTGAAATATTCCAACGGATAAAGGCGTTGGAATTCCGTTTGGAATTTGCCACGGAATTCCAACGGATCTGCGTTTCTAACGACTGATTTCCAACGGATATATCCGTTGGAAATCCGTTGGAAAAGTCGAATTCCAACGGATTTTCGGTCATTTCCAACGGATTTACCGGTTGGAATTTGGGGTTTTTTTGTAGTGGTTACTCGTGCCCACTCTATCAAAATTTGTTCCCACCATTTCGATCACAAATGCTTAACCTACCACTATTATACTATACTTTTTAATATATAAATACAACATATATCTATATGTTCCAATAAAAAAAACATATATCTATATATTAAAGATCCGCGCTTCAATCTCCATTTATCTTTCGTATATGCAATTAGGAGAGAATATCTGCGGTGCATATATACGTAAAATAAATGCATTCCTTTATTGTGCATACACATATACATGCGTATACACACATAAATACTTGTATCTTAATGCATAGATTTCGCAACCACGTACGAAACCATACATACAATACACATCGACACATGTATATATATGTATATTACTTGAATAGAGAGGCACGAATGCGACCACGGAGGTAAGTAAAACGAAAACCTTTGATGTGGTCCGCCTTGTCCCCACACTGAAATCAACCCCCCGCGCAGATGACGACACCTTGTTGTCCGTACATCGATTAAAAACGTTATCGATTGATTTGATTTCGTTTATTTTCTTATTTATTGGTTTTATTTTATTTTCCCATTTAAAAAAAAAAATTGAAACCCTAGAAAGATCGTCCTGCCCTATGGTCCCACCTGCATCATGCCCCACACGCTTCGCACGACAATTTTTAAAGTTTTCACAATAAAATTATTTTAGTTATTCCGGAATCTACAACCTTTATGATTGAAATTTATAACCGATATATGTGAAACGCGTAAATTTATTTGGAAACCAATCTTGTATCGTTATAGATGAACAGAAATTATCGACAGAAAAAAAAACTGGTGAGAATGCCACGTGGATCTTCCGACTTCGCTGCAATAATCTGACGTGGCAAAGTAAAGCGACTTGATACGTCAGTAACACGCCGCGTGTCGGCTGTTGAGGGCTTTGTCTTCTGGATTTAGATTTTTAAAAAAAAAATAAAGAAAAAGAGCCAAAATTTCGGAACTACCCCTGAAAGGTTGATAATGATGGACTGGCCAATCGAGTCGCTATTTCGGGGCATTAGATCTCTGCCTTTTTGGTTGTTCTTCGATTAGAGTGAAATCTATATCTAGATTTTGTGAATCTCGGCAATATAATATAAAATATGATAAAAATGAAATTTTTGATAAGGGAAAATAGTAACAGCTTTCCTCATTTATATGGGTAAGACGCAATTTGATATAATTTAAGAGATGCATTGATGGTTATATATATGATAAAAAGGAATGGTCTTCCTATTCGATCAGACTCTTATTATTTTACCCCATAGATCTCTTCACCAGTCGTTGCACTTGCGCCTCTCCTCTCCAACCTTTCTCTGTTTTCTCTCTCTCTCGAAACTCGAGCAACTTATCCATGGCTGTCGAAGCCCCGCATATCAGCATTTTCCCTCCCCAGTTGATGTCGAACGTGTAAATTTTCCTACTCTCGTTTGTTTTTGTTTTTTTTTTCTCGGGAAAACCTTTTCCACTGCGAAATCATATATATATATATATATTCCTCTGCTTTCTTTCGTGTCGTCGAACACTTTCTAGGTCTTCCCGCCAACGAATTTTCAGGGGTTTTCCGTTTTGAAATCTTGGTTTCTTCGCTACGTTCTTGAATCAGTACGTGCTTTTCTCGATTTTTTTTGAATCGAGTTATTTTTTTTTTCTGTTTATTCGTTTCCAGAGATTGCGTCAAATCTCAAGCCAGCATGAACCACACCCAGATGCAGATAGATTTCTCCAGAGTTCCCTTAGCCACCGTCGACGCGAGAAAACGCTCCCGGAATTCCGCGGTCCGCGATTCTGACGATTTCCTCGCGGCTGAGGCGGAGTGGAGAGCCACCGGGTTTGGACCGCTCGTCGATCAAGAACTCGTGTCTCAGATCCAACAACAGCAATCAGAGATCGATCGGTTCGTGGCTCAGCGGGCGGAGAAGCTGAGGATGGAGCTCGAGAAGCGGCACCGGACGCAAACGCGGATGCTAGCGTTTACGATACAAACCGCCATAGCCAAGAAGCTCGAGGAGAAAGACGATGAGATCGTTCGGTTGAGGAAACTCAACTGGGTCCTCCAAGAACGTGTGAAGAGCCTCTTCGTCGAGAACCAGAACTTGCGAGACCTCGCTGAAGCCAACGAGGCCATGGCCAACAACCTCCGAGCCAACCTCGAACAGGTCCTCGCTCAGGTCGACGGCGCCGCCGCAGCTTTAGAAGACGAGGTGGAGTCGAGCTGCGGGAGCTGCGGAGGAGGAGTCGCCGGCGGAGATGTCATGATGAGCATTCCGGGGGTGCGTGGCGGCGGATGCAGGAGGTGTGGGGAAAGAGAAGCGATGGTGCTGGTGTTGCCATGCCGGCATCTTTGTCTGTGTACGGTCTGTGGTTCGGCTCCACTACGTGCATGTCCTGTCTGCGATACGGTCATGAACGCTAGTGTACGTGTTAACATGTCGTGACCATTTTTCTTTCTTCAATTTTTTTTTTAGAATTTTCGTCGGTTAATAATTAAAGGGTAATAGGAGAAAATATTTTTTTAAACACTTTGGATAAACAGACATAACCGTGGATCCTTTTCTGTGTAAACTCGTCGTCCATTTTGTATACGTCGTTCAGTAAAATTTCGAAATTGTTTCATATCAAGCGCCGGTATAGACAAACCATAAAATATGTTTGTCGTTGATCCTATTATTATTATTATTTTTTTTTATATACCGAGAGATGTAATGAATGACATTCAATTATGAAACGTCATCTTTAAATCTTGCATATTCAGATTAATTTTCTAAATCAAATACTTTATGATAATTTGGATTATAATTTTTTTCCCTAATTAATTTTTATGTATCTTTCAATTTTCATTTTTTGTTTTTTATCCAAGTAAACGTTTCGGGTTCGATTAGAGTTTTATAGAATTCGGATTTATATTAGGATTTATATTAAGATACATTGGATGAACATGCTAATGGTTGTCCTCCCTTTAATGGATCTTGATACATGTAAAGACGGCGAGAGATCTTAAGAATATAGATTTTTTATCATATGAAATATTTTTTAGACGGGAGGCCAATGCAAATATACTTAATATATATGTATGTATATATATATATGCATATATACGTGTGTGCCGGATGTATTGTATTTTCACGATATTATGGGCCGGTTGACGCTAGAATTGGGTCATTTGTGTAATGGGCTGAGCCCATCGCTAGGCCTATTTTTTTTGTTTCGTAACCTTATATGGCATCCCCATTTCAAGGTATCAATATTATATTTTTCATACAATCTATAGGTAAGAAGCAATCAATTTCGTTCTGTTCCAAATTATTTTATGAAGACTGTATTCATATTACTTTAGCCAACATATCATATTAATTACAAAAGTTAGAGAACTAAAAGTTTTAATTTATTACATATCCAGTAAAAAAAAGGAAGTTACATGCATGAAGATACACCATAGCGATATTATTGTTTCAGGATTCATTTCATAAAGAGGTTTTCACTGAATTAGTATGTTATATATAGTACTCGAAAATGAAAATAGTATCACTTGGGTCCAATAAAACTGCTGATATATGTATGTAATCATATTATAATTGTTCCCATTTGTGAGGAAAAAACTAGGGGTGGCCAATTCGGGTTTCGGTTCGGGTTCGGTTCGGTTATAGAAAAACTATAATCATTCGGTTTTTATATAAATTCCGGTTCGGGTTCGGTTCGGTTTTGGTAAAAAGTTCAATTTTCCAAAGAAAATGTCGGTTATTCTCTTGATTTTTTCGGTTATTTTTTATTTGGTTCGGTTCGGTTTCGGTTTCGTTTTTTCGGGTTTAAAGAAATCATAACCGTTCGGTTCGGATACTGTTATGTCTTATTCAGTTCGGTTCGAACTCGGTTATTCGGTTAATAACCTAGAAAAAACATAAAACTTACATATATATTTATTATTTTTTGATCGGCTTTAAACTGCTGTACCCCGAAAAATAGACCGATTTTCATGTGAATAAAATCAGTAAATTGAACCAAAAAAAAAAGACGTAAAACTTCATTATTCCTTTTTAGATTTGAAACAAAAACACTTCAATCTCTGTTATAGAGCACTTTGAAGGTTCTTCAGTGCCCAAAAGACGAAGAACCAAAATGGAAGACTATACCATTTGCTGTAACCAATCACGATACCCACAAAGCCATGACATGTTCTTACCAAACACAACACATACATACACAGTTCATAAGGAACCAAATTCAGACACCGTACCGAATCCTCGTACCATCCGAAGAATCGATCCATGGTTTGAGTTTTCACGCCCACTTTGCGAGAAGCGACATTCCGCCGCACCCGATCAAAGCGGCGACGAGCGACTTAACCTGGAGTTTGATGCTGCCTTGAAGCCTAGCTCCCATGAACTCCGCAGCCAAAAGGTCGACCAGCGCCATGTATATGAGCAGCCCGGCCGAGCAGGCATTGAGCAGCCCTACCGTGATCAGAGCCATCGGGCTGTTGTCTCTGTAAATGCTCGAAAGCGCTATCCCTAACGCTATCCCGAAAGGAGTTGTCACCGCGAAGAAGAACGCCATCAAGAACTTCTTCATGTTCGCGTACTCGGCCTATAATCACATACATATATATGAAATATACAAGTACAAATTCTGAAGTATAGTTCAAAAAGAATGATTGGTTAATGTTTCAACGTTTTATTTAATTTTTCATTATATATATATATATATATATATATGTAGAGGTTCCTTCAGAGTTTTCTAAATTTATTGAATTCACAAGTTCTTTAAGTCTATACATAAATTAATTACCTGGAGAATACAGCCGCCGAGGCCCATGCCTTCGAACATTTGGTGGAAGCAAAGAGCTGCAATGAGTCCTTTAATGGTGCAAGTGTCATTGGTTGCTCCAAGAGACAGCCCAATCACCACTGAGTGCACTATTATCCCAAGCTCCAGCACCTACATACATATATACACACGCACACGAAATGAAACAATATAAACGATGTTTCTAATGTTCCATATATATATATATATATAACGCTCGACAAGAGATCAAGAATCGGTAAATAAAAAAAAAGAACTAACCATGGCGATGACTCGGTACCGAAGGAGCTGTGGCTTTGCAGAGTCACCATCCTTTGAGGCCGCGGACGTTGCGTTATGGACGTGGCCGTGGCCGTGGCCGGGGGCAATCGCCGGGCTCGCTCTCTCCTGATCCACACCTGGAGCGACCTCGACGTTGTTCTTCCGAATGTATAGACTCGTGGCCATGGAGTCGATAGCGAGAGTGATGAGACCAGACAACATGGCGACAAAACCCGTGAACGGGAACTTATGCCACGGCTTGTCAGCGAGACATTTCGAGGACAACATATCGAAAGAATCAGGCAAAACGTGCATGAAACCTGTTCCGAGGATGATGCCTGAGGCGAAACACTTGACGATGATGAAGATGTTACTGTCTGGTCGGAGAAAGGGTACGGATTTGCTGAAGAGAGGGGCCGAGACACCGATCATGCTCGTGACGAGGATCGCGGCCAGGGCTATAATCTTGAGAGGCAAGGCCTTGGCTTTGTCCACGCACGAGTTCGTCGCCTCGTCCCGGCATTCGTCCGGCGCCGTCGAAGTGGCCGGAGAGACTGCGAAAGTGATGAAGATCAGTACGAGGAAGATGAGTTTCACAAGTTGTGTTGTTGAACCAGCCATTTGTTTTTTTTTTTGTTGTGTAGTGAAGTTTTGTAGTTATCTGTTGTTTTTTTCCTTTTGTTGTCTAGTTTCTTGTGGGTCATAGAATCTATGATGACTTGGCTTAAATAGGAATGTGTGCCGAGTTCATTTGCATTAAATAGTTGATGACGTGGAATATTTTCCATTTATATTAGTAACACATACCACGCACATGTCCACGCAAGCATCTGGGAATGAGTCATATGACCCACCGTACCGACTCGTGTGATGACACACGTGTCTTTTATTGTATTTTAATGATTCGACACGTATTAATTCCGCATTTTTACGACTGTGTAAGAAAAATATGCACATAATTTAGCCATATTGTATGGATTTTTTTTTTGTTTTATCCATTCAAATTATGTATTAAATCATTAATATTGACGAAATTAAATAAAATAAACTTTTCACAATCGGAATATTCTTTATAGTATTTTTAAATTCTCGGAAAGGAATCTTGAATTTCTACTTATAGTAATATAGAAAACACAAACCATTTTATTTATTTGTAATAATATCTTTTGGTTGTTAATTCATTTCATATTTCTCTTTTGTTTCAGTATTTTATATTTACACACAAATCACTTTGTAGACAAACTATTCATATGTTACTTTCATAAAAAAAAAACTATTCATATGTTACGCTGTCAATATTTTATGGAGATGGACGAATAAGGAACTATAGTGGAATATATATATATATATATATATTGAAATTAGAATGAACATTTAGTGATAATAAAATTATATCCATTCAGATTTATATGGATCTTTAGTTTATTTACGTTTTATGTAGATTTATTAATATATTTTTATTAATTTTTCGCTTTGTTTAACTGTTTAGATTATTTTCTTGTTAAAATAGTTAGACTTGAGTTTGCTTTATTAGTTTTTTTTAAAAATTATTTAGAAATAAAATTGATTTAGATATAAATATACATTGTGTGGTTCGGTAAATCGAGAGATTGAGTTTTAATTAAATAAGATAGAGGAATACATAAACAATACCAAATAACGCATATAATATAAATTATGTTCATTATAATACTATATAGTGTATCTATATATATATATGGCGCATGGAGAGGAATTTGGAAAGGGCATGGTCCATGCTGAGGGTATTGAGTGAAGCTCCACCCACCCATGCTTCCTTGATGATAGTCAACTCCGGTAGGCGTTGACTTTTTATTAGTGACATCGTTAATTTGGATCCAGCTCCTAATTGTTCCAATGTTTTTTACGTAAGCAGAAATTAAAATAAACGCTTTCAATATGAACGCGACGACCACGTGGTCGTGCGTGCAAAGCTCGTGCTCCACGGACATGTACCACAAAGGACATGCGGTACATGCATATGTCACGTTGTTGTGGGTTTTAAAAAACGTAACAAAATAATAAAACAAATAAATACGTACGTCGACCCGATAATTTAATTAATATGAAATTCGCGGGAATCTACTAGTTTTGGTTATAAAATATATATATATTTTTTTCACATATTCAATTCTTTTTTGGTATATTTTGCTAATAACCCTTCCAATTTTTTTTTTATTCCTCAAATAGATTCAATAATTCACTATATTTTTCCAAAGAGTTCCAAAATAATTCTTTAGGACAGACAATCCATGTCAATCATTTAATCTCTTCCATATAAATATTTATTTATGTATATACACCATGTGTATATGTTCTGAAAATAAATAAATAAGGAAAAAATACAAGGAGCAATTAATTAGTAACTAATTTGGCAAAATATTTCTAATGCACAGGGTTAAATAGTTCACTGAAATTTTCCGAATATGTGCAAAAGTTTGCTTCTTGAGGCAAATTAATTATATGTTTCAAAATTATAAAATCTGACTATGATTGCGAATATAATTATAATTATAATTAAACTATCTATAATTTGTTAACTATTTATAAAAAAAAATCTAGTTTTTTAAAACCCGTGTTTTTGTTCTTTTTAATTTGTAAAGTAAGACACTTCGGTTCAACTTAAGTTGGATGGTTCAACTCGTAAAAAAAAAAAAAAATCTTCTTCTTAACACGAATTTGAGTCTCCACTTGAAAAATGATATTTATCTGAATTTGTTCGATCCTTTAAAATTTATAGATAAAGTGAACTTTCGAATTATAAAAAAAATAATCTCAACCGAAATATTAAGGTTCCACATGCAAATCCCTATGAATGCAATTCACACACATGCAAGCATGTATGTATGTATGTGACAAGATTGAATTGGGCCGAACGAAGTTAACATTTGGGCCTTTCTTTTTGCACAAGCCCAGCAACGTACCTGATCGATCATCTCCTTAAAATAATTTCTTTTTCCTTTTTTTTTTGTTTGAAAATGGATATAACTAGAGGAACATATTGGTCCAACACATCCATGTAAATGGACCCACACTGTTCATAGCCCATAAAGTATCGTCAAAGCCCACCGTATTAACATTCTTTGATTTCAGTTTTCAGATTATCATATTATTATGTAATTTGTGTAAATATCCGAAATATTTGGCCCCATCTTGAAAATAATTGAATTAAAGCGAGATACCGAACTAATTAGTTAGTTGCAAATTGGGTAATTAGGCTAATGATTGCTGCTTTACCGTTATTTCTGATATAGAAATATTTTGCAGACATAGTATTAAAAATATATGATATATTGGACATATTTCCAAATATATTTAGTTGTATCTCTAAGATATCATACATTTAATATTATATTTCTAAGAATTTACATACTTATCCTTCATTCTTCGTTGATTGGTTTATATATGAAACAGAATTTTATTTGATCCAATATACACGTATATCTCGAAATTAATGGGATTAAAATTCGGCTATCAAAATAACCAAAAATAAAATAAGAAAAATGCTATCCCTCAATACATGCGAGTGTTTTACAAAAATATATACCAATCGGTTATTATATTATATTTAACTCGGGTCCTGATTTTGATTAAAAAAATTATTCTTTTAAAAAAATTCGATCTTTTGGATTTTTTTAAAATTGGGTTATAAAAAAATGCCTTAGAAAATTTGGAACAGTTACATTCGAGGATAATATTATGTTTTTCGGTCTGGTATGGTTCGAAGAAATGTACCGAAATGCCCACGATTGGTAGAAGTGTTGTTGTTCAGTGGCTGACGCAATTGCTTACACGATCGCCTTCGTCACGCATGGCCACTTCATCACCGATGACGGCATTTTCTTCATAAACTTAAGATTTATTTATATATATTTGAGATATGGTAATTGGATTAATATTTTTCACTTCAACCAATTCGATTAACAGTAATAACTCTATTAATACTCCTGAGTTTCATTTTAGATACCGTTTAAGATTTAAACATATAAATTAAGAAATATAATGATTTATCCAAAATATTTTTATTTATTGTATAGAACATTATTATTTTTAAATAAATAGAATTCTTAAGTATTATTAATTAGTAATAAATTTAGAAAAAAATATTAAAAATCTGAAAACGTTATTTATTTCGAAACACAAATATTATTGTAAAACGTAATGGAATCTGAAACGGAGAGTAATTTCTTTTTGCCCTGTATTTCGAAAATAATTTTATTTTCTAAGTGAAAAAGTGGTTTTTTTCCAAAAAAACTGCTCATAATGATGTTGGGAAAAATGGCAAAGAGATTATGATTATGGTATGATTATAGTATATTAGTATTATAGATCATTAGTCTTTTTTTAATCATTTCACTCGTCTTCGATAAATAATCAATTTTGGTAATTTGACTAACGATTTATCTGATAATTAATCCAACTCCGAGAAATTATGAAAATTAATTAATCAGCTTTGTTTTTTCCAACACATGAACCTGTCTCTTTCTTTCACCATCACTTCACCTGTTTGGTCTGGGACTCATATAGCCAATCCTGCTTTCCCTTTTACTCCTCTTCTTCTTCTTCTTCTTCTTCCTGTTTTTGTCGGTTCCTTCAACGACTTGAGGTCATAGCTTCATCTCCCACTTTCCATTTTTCGTCACCGACCCTTTCCTCTTTCATCGGTTCCCTTATTCCTGTCTGATTTCTCCGGCTAGATGTAGGTTAGATTCCCTTGTTTGCAGTATCAATCCGTAATTTCGAAGAAAACCTTTTATTGTTCGATTCCTTTTCTGGGTTTTGAAAAATCTTTTTGGGGCTTTCTCATTTTGTTTCAATTTCTGAACTTCTCTCGAGGTATTATTGGTTTTGTTTGACTTTTTGTGCGTGAATACGGTGGACCTGCAAACCGGACAAGGAGATTCATGTTCCGGGAAACCATGTAAGAAGTGTGCAAACTCATGATCTGCCGGAAAAAGATCGATCCTTTTTCATGGGTTAGGTTAATGTCTTTGATCTTGTCTGTATATCCGGTAGTTCGTATTTAGTCATACGAGGTTTTGTGTATATGGTGCTGGGTTTTGTGGGAATGTTATGAAATATGACATTCCCTCAGACTAGGGTTTGACAAATTCCTTATCAATCTGAAATGGGTATCTGGTGTTCTAAATTCAATCTGCCTATTAAAATCTTTGGATTGGATAGAAGTCGAATGGGAGAGGCCTTGAATATTCTCAAAATCTAGACTTCTCTTGGGATCATTGATAAAAAAGCCTTTGAGACTTGAAGTGATATTCTGAAAGATGGCTGCTTCAATTGAGCCCCCATCTTCTCTAAGCTTCACCTCATCTCACTTGTCCAATGGCTCTAATGGCACCAACCAGTCATCTCTGTTACACAACAGCTCGGCTGCTAATCTCGAGGTCGCTAGTCTCAGCAAGCTTAGCTCCAATCTGGAGCAGCTTCTCATCGACTCAGATTGTGGTTACAGTGACGCTGAAATCATCATCAATGGCGTTTCAGTGGGTGTTCATAGATGTATTTTGGCTGCCAGAAGCAAGTTTTTCCTCGAGTTGTTCAAGAAAGAAAACAAAGGGGCGGCATCCGGGAAACCCAACTATCATATGAAAGAGTTACTGCCTTTTGGACACGTGGGACAAGAGACATTCTTGCATTTCTTGAACTATATCTATACTGGAAGGTTGAAGCCTTTTCCTATGGAGGTGTCCACTTGTGTAGATACAGTTTGTGCCCATGATTCCTGTAGGCCCGCCATTGATTTTGCTGTGGAACTGATGTATGCTTCATCTGTGTTCCAAGTCCCGGAGCTGGTTTCATCTTTTCAGGTTTGGAAACTGATCTCTTTGGTGGTAAAATGTTTGTTCTTGATTCATGAGACTTAATGTCATGCTCTATGTTTTTTTTTTTGCAGCGGAGACTTTGTAACTTTGTGGAGAAGTCTCTCGTGGAGAACGTCCTTCCTATCCTCTTGGTAGCTTTCAATTGTAAGTTGGCTCTGCTTCTTGATCAGTGTGTTGAGAGAGTGGCGAGGTCCGATCTTGACAGATTCTGCATCGAGAAGGAACTTCCTTTCGAAGTGTCTGAAAAGATTAAACAGCTTCAACTCAAGTCTCCACATGACGAGGAGGACAATACTCCCGAGGTGTCTGAAAAATTGCTAAAGAAAATCGGGGCAATACACAAGGCATTAGACTCGGATGATGTTGAACTCGTGAAACTTTTGTCTTCTGAATCAGATATATCTCTAGACCAAGCCAATGCTCTGCATTACGCAGTTGCATACTGTGACCCGAAAGTTGTGGCCGGAATTCTTTCTCTAGATATGGCTGATGTGAACTTGAGAAATTCTCGGGGTTATACTGTCCTCCATTTCGCTGCAATGCGTAAGGAGCCATCCATCATCATATCACTTCTGAAAAAAGGCGCAAATGCATCGGATTTGACACTTGATGGACGCAATGCCGTCAATATATGTAGGAGGCTGACAAGGCCTAAAGATTACCATGTCAAATTGGAGAAGGGGCAGGAATCTCATAAAGACCGGATTTGCATTGATATCATGGAAAGGGAAATTAGGAGGAACCCGATGGCTGGTGATATACCAACATGTTCCCATTCAATGCCCGAGGATCTCCAAATGAGGCTTTTATACCTAGAAAAGCGAGGTATTAAGCAATAGATTTCACAGTTTATGGCAACTGATTCTTGACTCTTTCAGCCATACTTGTTGCTTTACATGTTTTCCCTGTATTGGCAGTTGGGCTTGCTCAGTCATTCTTTCCGGCGGAAGCCAAAGTGGCTATGGACATCGCCAATGTTGAGGGTACGTTTAAGTTCACGGGTCTTCCACCATCATCAAAAGGGTCGACCGGGAATTTAACACAGGTTGACTTGAATGAAACACCTCATATGCAAACAAAAAGGCTTCGTGCTCGGATGGAAGCTCTCATGAAAACTGGTAAAGCTCAATGCTTTAATGCTCTTCTAATTTCTCCTCTAATGGAAAAGCATGGTCACTTATACATGGGTCACGGCTTTCGGCTTGAAAAGTCGAATAATTTGATAAAAAATTGTCTACACATCTCCATATGGATCACTGATAAGGTTCTAACTCAGAACTTTGTTCAGACCCGGAGATTGCATGCTTGTTGTGTAGAACCATACTTTCTTACTGAAGACACAGACAGAATCAAGGGGCCATTGTTTAGGATCTTGTTCTGATCCTTGCACCTTTCAGATTACTAATTTGAAATCTTTGACACTGCAGTTGAGACGGGACGGAGGTATTTCCCGTATTGCTCAGAGGTTCTGGACAAGTACATGGATGATTATATGGACGACGATTTCACTGAAATGTTACACCTCGAAAAGGGCTCTCCTCGGGAGAGAAGATTAAAGAGGATGAGGTATAAGGAACTGAAGGAAGATGTCCAAAAGGCATATAAAAAAGACAAAGAGGCCAAGATTGCTCGGTCTTGCCTTTCTGCTTCATCCTCTGCTTCTTCTTTAAGAGATGCCCTGAAGAACATAACGTGAAGGGTGAGACAAGTCAGATCTTTAAAGAATATGGTGTTCTGTAGGTTTTTTTTCTTCTTCTTTTTTCTTGGCTCTTTGGTGGTGAGAGGAAAGTGTGAAGTCTCATTTTGGTAATCAGACAGAATTATACAGATACTTAGGTACAGTTGTAATAAAGGAGAAGGATCTAGAAATGCATTAGGGGGACTATCAGGATGTTATTTGTTAATGCAGGAGCTTTCTAACCATTTGATACTTCTCTCCAACGATTTTGCTCCATCAGATTCTTGTTGTAAAATGGACAAGACAAAGACATTGCATAACAGAAGTGCCAGACATGTTATTATTGCCACTATAATGAACATCTGAGGATTACACAAGAAAACTTCTGGAAACTGACATTCAAGGGCCAGCGTCATTGTTACAGTTAACATGTGAGATCCGACAACCATGGAACTAACTCTTGTGGAGTATTCTTCAGAATACTACACCAAGAAGCAAAACTCCTGAACAGAACAGCCCTCCCCTCACAGGAACGTGAACCTTTAGCAGGATGATTTCAAGGTAGGATCCAAGCTCCGCCATTGCAGATGTTCTTTAAGTCCTGTATAAGAAATTTTCCAATGACTTAAGACAGTGCACAGGTACATTGGCTTAGCTCTGGACTCACATCTGATATCTGCATTGAAACAGCAAACAAGATACCTCTGTTCTTTCAGTTTTCTCCAACTCCTTGATCCGTTTGTTAACACAATAACACATCCTGATGGATTCATAGGCAAGCAAATTTTATGTATCTGCATAACCTTACCATCACAGTCATAATTTGATGACGACAGTGAAGGAAAAATTAGGCGTATTGACAAGACCACGAAGCTGGGTAGAAGGTTGGGTCGAATGATACAACAAATCAAGAGACATCTGTAGGCAATACAAGACACCGTTTATATATTCAAACTTATCAAATACAGAAAAAAATCTGTGATCAAACAACAATATGGAGAACTGGAAAAGACAGAAGCATGTACATGAATTAAGGTAAGAGAACTATAAAGTTTCACCTGTAGAAGATGTTTTCTTTATACTTTCCCACACGGCCGGACCTTCAGGGTGGACATTAACGAAGTATTTCACAAACCGGTGATCAGCACAAGTGATAATAGTGCTGAGTGATAACATTGGCTTTGCTGCATCACTTTCCCTCAGCCACATATACATTGAGAACCTATGATGTATTCTCTCCATATCGTAACACAAATATGCGGGAAAAGCTATCAGGGATTCAACTGGGTAACCTAAATGATCTGTTAAGGAGCGAATCTTCCTTTCAATAACATCTCTAGATTGATTCAGTATCATCGGAGCCCGCTTAATCATGTCTGTAACCACATTGTGGTCCAACCCTGCTTCAACGAGGCAATCAAATCTCTCCTGTAGCTGATCACCCTGCCCTCGAAACCTTTTCAGAGCCTTCACCATCTCATCTGAGTTCTCTACATACCCCAGCTTCAGCAAGAACGCTATTTTCTCCGCATCTTTGCTTGAATCATGTGAAACAGGTTCACCAGTTCTACTTTTTGATTCAGAAGTGAAACTGAATAATTTAAGAGGTTCTCCTTTTAAAATCTGACATAACTCATCTTTTTCAACTTTCAAACTTGCACAGACAGTTTTAGGTCTTCTCAGAGAGCATGAACCAACGAGTTTCATGCGAGTCAACAAGATGTTTGAGATGAACTGCATTTCCATTTCAATATCAATCAAGAAGTCCAATGTCTTCCAAAGATTTTTCATAAATTTATCCGACAACATCTCTGGGTTGTCTATAAATAATGAATAAATTTCATTCATTTGGAGACCCACTTTAAGCAATCTACCAAACAGTACATAAACTTTTTTACCCGAACCTTCCATCACCAAAGCCGGATGTGTTTCCAAAAGACTACCCAACTTCTCCTCTTTATAGCCTACTTTATCAAGTAACTCCATTGTTTCAAGAATTCTACGCCAATTGTATGATCTTCTAGCAGGCAAAGATCTCCTAAGCCAATCACACCCTACCTGCAATTCCTTCAGTTTATCAACCACAGAAGCAAATTCCCTATCAAGGCCACCAACAAGAAGTGATGGGCAGCATGTGACAAGCTTGATGACCACAGACTTGTTAAGACCCAAATTCTCATAAGCTTCAAGCTTTGATGCTAACACGCCACACTCGTAACTGAAAATATCTCTTGCTTCCTTATACATATGCCCGATCTTGCCACGTGGAATCCCATAGTTGCAAAGAATGTGAAAGTTCTCAAACATGGCACCATCATCACTCAAATACATCAGGTGTTGCGGAAGAAATGGTGAAAACTCAGATGGGTGCAAACCCAAACTCTCGAAAAATGGTTCAAATTCGTTGATTGGGTTGTACCTAAGAAATTTCCTCAATGACCGGGATACATCCTTCTGGGTATTAATCTTGGACAACAATGCTGCAACAAAATGTGGGGAGTTCTTACTTATATGCTCTGCATCTGTAAAACCAAGGCTTCTAGTACAATGCAAGTAGTCGAAAAGAACTTCCTGAGCCTCTTTCCTCATACCCCAAGAGACCTGGTTACCAAAAAACCGTGAACGTGACTGAGGCGGGTTTTGAGACAAAGGTTTCTCCCCAGAGACAAATCCATCATTCTGAAAACATCGCACAGTATATGAAACACGGCAAACATGAGAAATGTTGAACCTTGGCCTCTCGATTTCACGAGAAATGGCCGAGAAAGCTCCGCAATTACTGAAATGCGAAATCATCTCGAAAACTTTTGGCACCCTTTTGTGAAATCTGGACAATAACGATCGCATCCTAAGATGAAAACCCAGGGCCGAATCCAGAGTGAAGGAAGAGTCGTCAGGAAGATTCGATTCTCGACTCAACGAACGAGAAGAACATGGAGGAAGAGAAGGTTTTACCTGAATCTAGGGTTTTTTTCTTTCTCCCTAACTGCGAGCTCAAACTCACCATCCCCGCCTGATCAAATCAAATTTCTGTCACTCGCCTAAAACCCCGTGTCAGGGCTTTGGCATCAGTTTATTAAGGCGGTTGTTTTGGATAAAAATACAAAGAGACCCCGAAACTTTATATTTGTAACAAAAAACGACCATAAGTTGCTTTAATAAGCGGTTCACCCCGAAAATATCATTAAAATCCGATACGATAACAGTATATAATTAAATAGAAATCGAAAAATTTAAGGTCAGATTAAGTAATCTCATATTAAACAGATTGAACAAGGGGCATCTGCATTTGTCTTCACACATGCATATATATATATATATATATGTATATAGTAATTGAGAATCCATCACAACAGAGGTGAAATCTCCCGTACATATATATCTTCACAATGACAAAGGCAGTCATCATATACAGTAGTCTCAGATCTCTCTCTACATACAATGACAGTTTTATGTTATATTACATCAAACAAGTGTAAGAGGAGAAGCATCCAAAATGGGACATATCTAAGCACAACAGGATGTTGAACTCACTCCGCTCCCTGCTGGCCTGTCCGAGAGAACCATTCCTGTCGAGTTTTGTGCTGGCTGTACCCGAGGTAGCCTCCTCGCTGTATCGTCGTACAAAAAAATGGAAATTATTGATGAGAAAGTTAGGGTTTGTTTGAAATGCTTGTGGATGTAACAATGGCTCACCGATTTCGTAGAATATGTCTTTGACGTTAGCTGCAGTCTTTGCTGAGGTTTCCATGAAGAAGAGGCCGTTCTCCTGAGCATACGTCTGTGCCTCCTGCAATGACCACGGTTTGATATCAGAAACCAAACTGAGATTCATATAATAAAAGATAAAGTCTCGAGATTGTAATATGAAAGATCAGATATTTGGACGATCAGAAGGCGAAGGAGATTATTCCTCCATTGGTCAATCACGGTTCCGGTCAGAAACTTCAGCCAGCAATTCCGGAGAAACACGGCTACCCATTTTTGGCATGGGAGAACAAGAGCATAACAAAAAAGGAGTGTACCAATATGATAAAAGACATAAGTCCTTTCCCTTAGGTAGCTGGAGATTGAAGCATTCTATAATGCTAAATTACAACCAGAATCTCGGATTTGCAGAAAGAATGCATCTCATTCAGTGGCTTGGTTCTATAATGCTAAATTACGCCTGATACGTTCTTTTTGGAGGAGGTTGGTTTGATGATAAACAACATAATTTTCTATTGTTTTGAACAAATTCTGCTGGTATCATTATTTTTGAGGTATATTGCAATTTTACAACTTAGAAACATCACCAAATGCATATGGTCCCTATCAAATGACATATCATCTATCATACACAGCCACTGGAAAACTTGGCAAGACTTAAGATATAGAGAAGGAAAGAAAAAACTTACTTCTGCAGAAACCTTCCTAGCATCTAACATATCAGATTTGTTCCCAGCAAGGGCCATCACCATATTTGGGTTGCCTATTCATGTAAAAGAAAACCAGGAGAAGACAATAGTAAACACCCCACGATAAGTTGATAACCAATAAAAATCAATAAAAAAATTAAGAATATCACCAGAACAAAAGAGTCACAACTAAAAGGAAGTTGTTTGCACAAGAAATTAGCAATATAAATAACCTTGTGCCAGCAGTTCCTGAACCCATTTCTTTGCCCTCTCAAACGATGCCTGCGGAGACAGAAAATGTGAAGTGAAAATAATTTAGCAGCAAGTCATGAAACTGCTACCAAATTCTACCCATTTACTCAGCAAATCATAGCACGCAAGAAACTAATCCTAAGAGAAAGAAGCGAGAGATTATCGTAACAAGAACATTTTTCGCACTGAACTGAAGAATATGAAGATCGTGGGTTTTTCCCAGAATCATAAAAATTCCATCATGAGGACGAACACAATAGGTTACGAGTACTTACTTGATTTGTAATGTCAAAGACAATAATTGCAGCTGCTGCACCCCTGTAGTACATAGGAGCCAAGCTATGGTATCGTTCCTGACCAGCTGTATCCCATATCTCAAATTTTACAGTTGCATCATTCACAGCTAGTGTTTGCGAGAAAAAGGCAGCACCTATGGTTGATTCCTATAACATCAAAACAAAATTAACAATTAGACTCATGAACAAAATCACCAGGAATCTAACAAACTGGAGGATAGGATTGCTATCAAACCTGGAATTCAACAAACTGATCTTTCACAAACCGCAACACGAGACTTGATTTCCCAGCTCCGACATCTCCAAGTAACACCTGAAGCATTCAGCCGAATTTAGACAGAACAAATTCAGGATAGAGAACTGGAGACGTAGTTTCCAAAACTTAAGGTGGTGATAAAGCGATATACTTAATCCAGATGTTAAAGTTTACAAAAGCATCTCACAGACTGATAAATCGATCCTAGAGGAATAAAATACTTACTATGATGACTGCACAAAGGATAATACATCAGTAATGTAGGATACATAGAACAAATGGTACTCCTAAAACATTGCAGAACCGAGATTTCTAACATCACTAAAGATCTGGAAAACACAAAATCAACATTGGGAATGCAGAAATCCTGTCGACGAAATTTATAGAATCTACCCTCTAGGCTCTAGCCCAGTAGAGACAAGCACACACGAAAAATCCGATTCGGTGGGCAACTACTGCACCGTTTTGCACGATTGGTAACGCAGAAGATAATCAATGTCAGGACATCCACCGTAGGGCTTCCAATATTCACGAGCATACTCATCAGGACACCATGACGAAAAACAAACGAGACCAGATGTTCGAAGAAACACAACCTTTACTGAACCAATACAAAACCCTAAGCGACCAATGCAATGCAAGCACGGAATGAGAGGAGCTCCATTCTAAATCATCCAAATTCGCATACGAAAAACAAGAGTTCTGATCAAAATGGTCAACATTCGAACCCGACCGACATCGGAATCTCCAGGAAAACACACAAGACCGACAGTCAAGACTAAGGAAAATCGATCCAGTTCACGATCACCATGCAATGAAAATCAAAACCCCAGAAGAACGAGCAAATTTCGAATAAACAAAGACGAACCAATTTCGCGTTGATGTTCTTGTTTCCAGCAGCCATGATGGTCGATCGGAATAATCCTGCGGCTCGAGAATCTTCAGCTCAAAAAAAATTCTCAGAGTAAACGCGTTGACAATCAAAGACGGAGAATATTTCTAAAGCTTAAGGAGAAAGAGAGAGAGAGAGGGAGCGGAGAAGCGTCGTCAACCAATCTAGCGCCCGATCTCTCTCTCTCGACCTCGACAACGAAAGCGAAAAAACAAACAAAAGTTACACGGCACGTGAAAAAGACACGAAAGTTCCAAATATACAATATTGCGAAAAAGGCCCCATAGAAACAAGAAATTACGAAAACGTCGCTGAATTTATCTGTAACCCCCTATATTATATGTGCGAGGCATGTGTGTACGTGTATATATATCTTCTGGGGGAGTTGAGCTCCAGAAGGCGGCTCTGGTTGCATTAAGCTCATATTTTGATGATTGATTTCCCGAGAAAACTGGAAAATTTCAGATCTTTGCATTTTCTTTCTTTTAAGCAACAAGGATCATCAACATCATGAAACTGTCAAAGACAGAATCAACAGAATCAGCTTCATGTTTGAAGTGATGAGATTTCGAGCATCTTAAAGGTACCACGAAACTAACAGGCAGCTCAGAAAAAAGACAGAACAATGTTGGGATGATACAGAGGTGGTTAACCAGACAGACCTCAAGCAGAGAAACTGTACTAAACAAACTCTCAGACAAGAACTGTTCTGAGAAGAGTTTTAAGTTTCAAAATGTAACCGGAACAACTCCATGATATGATCTAAGGCAGCTTTCACAAACATGATCTCTCAAGATTTGAGCTTGTTCCTAAGTTTCTGGATTGTCAGGTCCGCACCTCCAAACCCATCCATCACAGCTTTCGCAGACGGGAACTCACCTCTGGACGTTAAACTAAACGGAAAAAAGAAAGAAATAAACGAGGTGATGAGAGGATAAAATTCATTATATCAGCGGACATAATTCATTATAGTCTGAAAGTATTCACTATTGCTTGACAAGATTCTGTACTGACTTGCACATCTTGAGCCTCAGACTATGCAGAATCAAGAACCCGAAATATAATGGGTCCTGAGCCGAAATATTATGTCAATATCATCAAATGTAGCATACCTGCTTCGCATGACTATGCATGACATTCCTATCATCTTTGCAGCAGCAACTCCGGACTGACTTCCAGCAACAAGAACACAGTTATCTACAGGTAACCCCGCATATTCTGCCGCAGCACGTAATGCAACAACAATTTTCTCAAAGCTGGATAATATTCACAGACCAAAACAAAAAGTGAGAAATAATCGTATATAATTATGTATGTTTTCCTTTAACATGGTGAAAATTTATAACGTTTGGAACAATGAAGATGGAAGTTCCACCTCTCAGATGAGCTTGCGTCTAGTTCAACACTTAGCTTTAGCATCGATGCAACCTCCTCTGCTACCCTTTGTTTCTCAGCAGAGGCTACCCGGGAAAAGAACTAAGAGGATGAGAAATTTCGGGCAGATGTTTTCTGAAATCACAAGGGAAATTCTTGATTAAGAAGTAGTTTTGAATTGTCTCAAGGATTTAAACCTGCTTTTTTGGCTTCCTTGACTAGTTGATCCTCTAGACTTGAGGACACTCCTTTGCCAAGAACAAGTTGTCCATAAAGACTCTGTTCTACCTCATCGTTCCCAATAACCTTTACGTTCAAAACTCTTTCTTGGCCAAGCTTCTCAACAATGGATCTGCAACATACCAACATAAAAGACAAAATCAGCCGACCTTGTTGAGCATTGAAAGCATACACAGGTACAGGTTAGCACTTAGAAAGTGGATCACACCCTTTTCTCAGAAAGTTTTTAAGGTCAGTATTGTCAGAAAATTGATCAGAGAAAAGTTTTTGTTTTTGTTGTTTTTTTGTTCTACATACATACATATAAGTGACTTTTTCATATTTGCAGGAAGGTGATTTTGATAAACCCTTACCGGGCTACTTTGTCTCCACTCTTGAAGTAGGCAGTTACAATAACCACGGGCATCCCTTCCTTGCATGCATTATCGATAAATCTACAACTCAAAAGGGAAAAATCAAATGCATTTTCGAGTTTAAGGGGACAGGAAGAACTCCAGTTCTTTGTTTCAGTGTAAAGAGCCATCATGCAAAAAAAAAAAAAGGAATCCACTTATTAAAATTTAGCACAAGAGCAGTGATGAATTTGCAGCAAGATTCTTAAACAAATTACTGCTTATACAATATTCACATTACAATAGGAATAAAACATACTCAACGATTTTGGACAATCCATGTTCAACAAGGCAGTGAAATGGAAACCATATATTCAGATGAGTCCAGGAGACTTACTCTTTGATTCCAGACCTCAGAGGTAAGCTTTCAGACATCAGAAGCTCACCCATTGCATTTTTCTGCCAAAAAATAGTTTGAAGTTCAGCAACTTAGAATGAAGATACCGTAACTTTATTTTGAAGGATGTATTCAAGCTACATTTTGACCTTTTCTCGCATAACACTTTTCACAAAGTTCCCTTTCTCGCTGGTCGGCAATGAAGTAGGCCAACCGATCTGAAAATATATGGGTAACCAGTTGTGAAATATAAGCATCAGAATGATAATCAAGTGGTCAGATTTGCTGATCAAGCCAAGAAAACGATAATTTACCCGGTTAAAGTACAAAGTCAACATTCTCTCCTCATCACCCGCACCTTTCCTGGAAAGAATAGCATAAACACTTCAGACAATGGATTGAAGATGTAAAGTCAGCTTAACGTAAATGTCCACTCATATCAATGACAGCAGAAGGGAAAATAATTTTCGTTTATTCGCCTAAGACATGTTTGCAACAAACTAAAGTATTGAGATGATAGTATGTGTATCCATCCTGCGAACAGATACACATAATAGAGTTATGTTCAACGGACGGAAAATGGCAGTATACTTGTAGTGAAAGCAGCTTGGTTCCTTCAAGTCATAGAATCAAACATATTCTTCAGTGGAGTAGACGAGAAATCAATTAAGAAAAACGGGAACAAGTTTCAAAATGGAAGAGAAAACATGCATGCAGGTTCTTTTGGAACAAACTCAACCAAACCAAGTGAAGAAAACAAAAGCCCACTTGTGAAGCACCCTTCAGTTTCATACCTCAACAAGTCTGAGTAAACTGGTTCAGGCCAATTAGCGCAGTCAAGTCCAAGCTTTTGAAATGCTATTATCAAGATAGAGCAAAATCAATAGATAAAATTAAAACATTGGGCTTAAATCCTGTGGATGCAAGTTTCAGAATCCTTCTGAATAATGACGATTAAGTTAACCAATCTGCCGCACCTACATTGAAAGCCTGGCGATTACACGACCTATATGCATCGATCATAACCCTGAAAATAGCATAAAAAGAACAAAAAAAAAAGTGTTATTAGACAAAATCAAGAACATGTCCAAACTCATAAATTGTGATACGTGATTTGTGTAACAGAAACACAGATTTTCATCATAAAGGTGAAGAATTTCCGTATCAGAACAAACTGAAAAGCCGAAGGAAGCATACCCATCAACTTCAAGAATCACGGCAAGTTCGTCAGATGGGTTCAAGTCTTCTCGGTCAAGCGGTGAGCTGAAGGCAGTTAATCCCCGCAATCGGAGGCATTTTCCGGGAATCTTGGATTTCCCCGAGAAAGCAGAAGCTGAAGGCAGAGAACTACCTGTAGCCGTGCCGACATACCGTCTGGGGAACAGAGGAGCTCTAGCGCAAGAGAGTTGAAGATTGTTAAGAATCAAACCAGAAGCTGTTTCCATGGCGACGTTCTATCGCTTTCTGGTGACTCATACGAACCTTTGCGCTGATTTTTTTGCACAAAGCCCCAACCTTTATTTTTTGGAGCCTTGCCACTTTGTGCATATGCTCAGTTTTTACGTCTATTGGTCATTATACTAAGAGATAAAATCCACTTTGATGAATCGTACGATTTTTACTTTTCCATACGTTCATTTGAAATTTGGGGAATTTATTCACTTTTAAATAAAAAATCATAACACTTTTCAGTCTTCTCTCTTTATTACACATGAACAGTACGGAGACAACGAAAGATCACATGTACCAAAACAGCAGTTGCCCATCCCGACCAATCATCAGAAGAATCAGAACTGTAGCAAGCAATTAACACTCATAGTCCTTCTCAGAATTTGAATGTGCTCATACAAAAAAAAAAACCCTTCATAACAAAAACGGGAGCACGACAAGGACAAAGTACTATGGAGACAGAACAACCAAAACCAGAGTTGGGTCACGTTCTTCTCTTAGGCAATGACAAACTCTTACAAGGACAAAAAACAGTCGCAGGAAGAGCAAAGATCCCCACAAATGGGTCTCACCCTCAAAAGGTTCCTAGAGAGATATTCCCTGACAACATTACAGCAAGAAAACCGAAACAAGAACAAAGACCAGCATATGAAACTATGCTGATAACTTCTCAATATCATTCACCCATCCTATATAGAATGAAGAATATCGTCTCATCGTTCTCCAACAACTTATATACAGCCGTTGGATTCTGCAAACGCCCACAAAAAAATGTCATAGCCAAGCATAAATTACACAGCACGGTTTCCATCCAGAGTCTCCAAACGACTGAACCGACCATGTATAAGTCTGAGCTCACATGGTTAGGCATCCAGAGTGCCAAAACGTTGTAATGACCATATTATGACATAACACAGAGTTGCATTCGATCATTTTACCTCTTACGAGTGATTCTCTTGTGAGTGTCTTCTTCTTTGCACCTTATGACTACTCTCCTCGATATTCTCATGGCTGTAGTTTGATCCATGTTCATGCCGATTCTTCCCTTCTGATTGCTTTTCGGGAGGACTTGCCAGCTTCCTCTTTCGACTGTTCATCATAGGGGAAGCATCGCCCACCATTTCACCTTCCTCCATGTTTCCAATATCCCCCTTTCCACCGGAATGATTTCCATCAACAGTTTCACAAAATTCGGTGCCCATGTAATCAGAGTTTTCAGCCTTTGGCAAGCTCTGTTCTTTCTTTTGCTTCGTCTTGCCATCCTCGACTGCCAATTCCACATCTTCCAGTTCTCTTTCAATCAGATCATCCTCATCCATCAAATCCTTTTTCCTCGTTCTTTCACCTTGGAACTTCTTAGCTTTCTCTAATTTAGCCTTCACCTTATCACGGAGCAATTTCAAGTCTTTAGGCGATTGGCTAACTGGAGCATCGCCAGTATCAACATTTCTAGATCTATGAAGAGTGCTATCGTCTTTATGATCTCCAGCCGTCCTTTCTGAGTCTTCCTTCCCCGTTCGTTCAACTCCAGGTCTAGTTTTGTGATGAACTCCCCCCACGTTGTCCTTGTGAGCTGCATGATCTTCAAGATGCTGACTATCTTTATTATCTCTATCTCTCTCCCCTTTATGCTCGGTAATAACACTACCCGTCTCGCCACTCCCGTTATCATTGTTCTGATTTTGGGTGGGCTTTGATGACCCTCCATGGTTATCAGAATTAGAATGGTCGACGGGCGGTCGTGATGACATCTGCCTAGAACTACCATGTTCATCCATGGAAGCTGCATTTCTTGAGATAGACCGATGAGCTGCCCCTCCACCTGAGCTACTTTCGACTTCAGTTCCTTGGGATGAAGGAACACGGTTTTGCTCATAAAGCTCAAGCATTTGGTTGCTCACATCTGAAAAATACAATAATAATAGCATATGAAGAACAGAATGCAAGTCAAACAAAAAAAAAACAGAACCAATAAACAAAACCTTATACAGTTTGGTAAAAGAAACAGGGTAATCCATCATAAACTTTGTGATGGTACATACCCTCCAATTGACGAGGTGTGACATCAAATTCTTGCCACCAGACCTTCTCTCCATCCGATGGTAACTTCACTTTAAGGAATTTGGCAGCAAGGAAAATTGCACCAGCCGCAATGTGATGAGGCTTAAATTGCAGGCAGAGTGACGTCCGCAGACTGCAAGCCACTTTTCGTTGTATGAAGAAGAAAACACAAGGCACATAGAAATATCAGAAGCTTGGAAGGGAACACATCTTCAACGTACCCATCATTAACAAAATTCCACGCTACTTGAGCAAGGGCATTCTGTGCAACCTTAAATTTCTTAATTGCTTCTACAAGGGGCTTATAAGGGTGATGGACATTGAGGTCAAACCCTAACGTAGAGAGTACAATCTTTTCTCCACTTAATATAAGCTCTTTTTGTTGCTCATATACTTCCTGTAAAAGTGAAACAAGTCAAAACACAACAAGGGGGTAATACTTCTGTAGACTAACATTAAGAAAAAAAAAGTAAAAGAAGAATAAAGGAGGATGGTCCTTAGACCACAAAGAAGCATTACAGTCCATATGCCAGTAGAACCTTACCGTCAAGGAGAGACAGGAAAAAGTGGCACCTTCATCTATCAACTGAACTGACAAACAAGATGCAACAGAATAGAAGATCAATAGTACGAATAACACCTTTTGCTTGATTCTTTGTGCTGCGGCAGGATCCTTCTTGTGAATTATCTCATAAGACACAACGATAACATCTTTTAGCGGCCGTGGAGTTTCCTCCACCTTTCCAGCAAGGAACATACAGACAGTCGAAATTGTCTGAAGAGCAAAACAGTAACACAGTGAGGACTTGTAAGAATCTAAATGTTGTTTTTGCTCTAGAAGAACATGAACACAAAAGCATAGAAACATAAATGAATGGAAAAAATCACATAGCATAACATACAATCTCAAAATTTTCCCCATAACAGTTTTTAATCAAAAAACAGTTTCATGCTTCTAAAACACCTCTTTCTGGAGCACTACAAACGCCTGGAAATTTCTAGCATGCCATGCTGATAAAAGACATTAAACCAGAGAGGAAGCACTTAGATATGAAGACTAGGAGCTCTAGATCCGAACAAATCAAATTTGCTCAAACAACATCAACCGAAATCCAAATTGTTTGAAGCATTACACATTTACACCTTAATTTATAAGGGATAAAAACTCACCCTCCTGTCATTCTTGGCATGTGATTGACGAATGAAGAATCGATGACAGAATATAATAGCCGTAGCTATTGTTACCTGGGGACTGCATTGAAAACTATTTCAGTAATATTCTTTGTGGGAACCAAAAACTGAGAGCTTCTTCCATTAGATGAAATCCAAATCTACATGAAGATAGGTTCAGACAGCCAATAGATGAGGTAACCGTGTCTACATGTCTTTTAGCTTAAATTTCATAGCCCCAGAAAGAACTCTACACTTTTGGCTTTTTGTTGGCAGGGTCTAGAGACCACCAAACCAGACTAGATTATCATTGCCATAAATTATCATCGAGACAAAACAAAATGCAGACGTTTCTGAATTGCTAAACCTACAAAATCTATATGTAAACCGGAGAACTTTAAGCTGTATGCCAAATCGAATATTAATAACAGTACTATCATGTCAAAAGAAACAAATCCAGCTTAAAGTAGTCAAATCTCAATTGAAAAATATAGGAGATATAAGGAACTTACACTTTCAACCGCATGCCCAAGTCCTGCAAAAAGGTACAATACGATTTGCGAAGGTATGTTTCCTTTTTTAAGTCAATGCCATCCTGCCTTGAAGGCGAATGTTCTTCTATTTCTTTTCTAGAAAAATACCAGCACCCGACCTCATCTTGCTTATTATCATGAGAAATCAGGGTTGTTCCACTCTCACAGTGTGAAGATTCCCCAGGCAACATTCCAGCCATTGCTATCTTCTAAGACCAGAATATTCGGACTAGCTCAAGCAGAATCAAAGGGACAAGTGTGTATCACTTCACAAAAAAGTGGCAATCCTGATTGAAAATATGAAAGTGAGCGAAAATGGGACAATCACAGAGAATAAGAAAAACAAATACATTTATTATCCATGAGGTGAAGCATATACCTTCTCAATATTTGTCCCGGGTAATAAGTCTAGGTGTTATCTTTGGCTTTGCCTCAAACTTTTAGCGTTGTATGCACTACAACACCTTTAAATTGTGACAATGAAAGAGACCGATAAAGAACAGAAATCCTGAAATAGATCCAGGAAAATGAAGAGTGCAAAACATTAATTCGAGAATAATTATGGATATAAGGGGGGTAAATTCACCAGAAACGCAGCCAATGTCAGATAAAAGAGAGTGAAAGGGCTAAAAGATGGAAGCAAAACTTGAATCAAGCCGGACAATAGATATTCCCTAGGAAATATTACAATCCACGTCTTCCCCTAAACCAACATACCCAAAAGAACCTGAAAGGCTGAAACCATAATGTTTATCACCAGAAAAGAAAGTGCTCGCTACTTAGAAGGCGAATCACCACACCAATTTCAAAGCTTTTTTTTACAATGGATGTACAAGCCAAAGCACGAAACTTTATACGAGAGGACAGCAGGAAGAAAAACCCGCTTTCACCTTCCAACAGAAAACCCAACACAACCACTGAGAACAAGGAACCTCAATATTTCTCAAATGGAAGAAAACAAATATTTCAGGGCAGCCAATCAAATCTGCAAAAGATCCAGAAATCCAACAATCCGAGAAGATCGACACAGAGAAACAAAATTCCATAAACCCCAAAAAAGACGAAGAAACCCTGACCAAATGAACAATGAACAGATCGAGATTTACGTACGAAACCCAGCCTTCACCTTCCAACACCGATTCAATATGTAACCACTCTAAGCAAGGAACCAGAAAAGTTTCCCTAATGAGAGAAACGAGGAATCAAAGAACAGCAGCCCAAAAATGCCAAAACCGTAGAAAATCCACCGAACTCGAGAAGATTCGATGCGAAGCAAAAAAATCCCCCAACGAACGAAAACAATGAAATGAAACCCCAATCTTACGAATATTAGAAAATATCGAAACTTACCTCCGAGCCGGTGGCGGATTGCAGAGGAGAAGAAGAAGAACAACGCGTAAATAGCTGAGCTCGATAAACACTAACCCTAGAGTCGCCGCGAGAAACGAAAGAACATGGATAAAGGGAGATATGGGGCACCTGATCCTGATTTGAGTGGCACCAAAATTGAATAATCCCCTATTATTTAAGGAAAATTTCTCTTGGGGCGAAATTGAAATGTTTCGGAATTTACGAGACAAAAGGTAAATACTCATTTTTAGCGGATTAAAACAGAGATAAAAATTAAAACTAAAAAAAGATCGTCTTTTTCATCTAATGGTGAAATCATCTTCGGAGGCGTTTTGGGGTTTAGATCGGATCGTTAAACCCTTGCGCCTCTTGGTGGTTCATCTCTCCCTCCTTCAGATCGATAAGAGATGGTAATTCTTCCCTTTCTTCCCTTTCTTCCCTTTCGTGTTTATCCGAGTTTGGAATTTTCTGTTTCTTCTCCTTCTCGTTTGACTCTTTAGTGTGTTTGTGGATTCGATTACTTGAAAAAGTTTCGATTTTTCTCTGTTTCCTTTTCTGGGTTATTGATCTTTCTCCTTCTGTGAATTTTTTTTACCTTGTTCATGGCACATACCCATGCCTCGCGTTTGGTACACACCTTTGAGCAGTTTTATGAGATACGCCTGATACGTTCTTTTTGGAGGAGGTTGGTTTGATGATAAACAACATAATTTTCTATTGTTTTGAACAAATTCTTTGGCTTTAATTGTGGTTTGTCATTACATGTCGCTCTAAGCATGCAATGCAATCCCTTGAAGGGTACTTGATCGGGGAAAATAGTGCTTTTGTGCATTGGATGTTCTTTAGATGATGAAAGAAAAAGATTCGATTATAGTACAATCGTCTTATTCTGATAAGTTATATTGTATCACTTGCTCTCACGATTCCATTAGCCTATGTTGCCCTTTTTGAGTTGCTATTTACTAGAAATATGTGGACATCTTCTGTGGCTTGTCTATTGCTCCACATCAGTAAGCAACACAATAGTGGTAAATCTTTTCTTGTTTCCAATCATCGGTATATATTCTTTTTTCAGGTGGAAACATTAGCCAAGTCTTCATCAAAAAAAGCTAGTGCGAAAGAAATTATCAGTCAAGTTTTAGCTTCTGGATTGTTGTCTAGAAATCAGAAGGCTCATGGCACCAAAGGTAAAGCAAAGTCTTTTCATGGCAGTTTATGTTTAAGACGTTTGTGAAATATAATAATTGTTTCTCCTATCTCCACTTTAACAATGGCATCACTGACATTGCAGGCGCTTCTACTACTCGGCACATTGAGCATGACTGCTCGGAGGACCTAGCTGGTATCAGTGATGCTGAGGTAAGCAAACAATGGCTACCTCGCTTTTCTTTTTTCTTTTTTTTTTTTTTTGTTAAAGGCTACCTTGCTTTTCAAATGATGCTTTGTGTAGTTTTGCATTATTTCCACTTCTATACATGTAAGTTATATAGCATTTTCCGGCGTTAAGGGAGATATAATTTTCCGCATCAGGTTTATTATAATTTGATGCCATATATGGTTTGCACGTTTGTGTTAAACACAACAATTGTTTCTGGGTTGTGGTGAACATGCTGTAATTGTACAGATTCTAGAAGTTTGCTGTGGATTATGCTGATGGCTTATACGGTAGAATTCTCAAATGCTACCATGTATGTAGTTGTAAGACCTGGCCGTTTTTAATACATCCTGTTTCTATTCTGTTGTTAATTTCATCCCTCATGAAAGGTTTCACCACATATCAATCCTTGACAAGCTAGGCTAACTTCTCATGTCTGTTTTTTAATCGTTTCTGCATGTTTTGTGGTTTCTACATTTTTGGTACTATAGAAAACTCCGATAAAAGAAAATTTCTATCCGCCCCTTCTGACCTTGATGGTGACTGTGCTCAATAGGTGGTTGGTTATCTGAATAATAAGAAGGAATTCCTTCTGAAGAAGATTCTATGGGAACAAATGAACCGGGACTACAAAAAGGTTTGCTCTTTGCCCTCTCATTAAGTTTTTGTTAACAGAACATCTTGTTGCTCCCTCCCCACCCACATTCCTTGATGTTCCAGTGACGTAATAGCTTTGATCTTAGCTGACACCTTGGGAGTTTTACTACTAGTCGTTTTGATTCTCCTCTACCTTTAGTCTGTCTATTTAATTACGGTTTTCAATCTTTCATTGTCTATGAAATATCAGGGGAGGAAAAGGAAAGACGCCACCAAGAAAAAGAAGACTGCTCCTGCTAATAAAACTGATCCAACAAAGAAAACTATGATAAATGCAAACACAAGTTGTGCAAAAAATGAACTTAAAAAGGTTGGTGTCAGTTTTCTTTGCAAATTTGATTTCTTTCTGTTATCAAGTTAAAATCATTTCTGATTCTATATCTTCTTCTGTTCTAGACGTCTTTAAAGTTATTCTCTAATACATGTTCTTTTTCATGTGTTATTCTCATGTAGAGGCTGAGTCCACAGATTGATTATGATGCCTTGGAGAAGCTATTTGAGTCTGTAAGTTAATTTTCTTCCATTCAATTTCTTTGCCAATCTTCCGGTTTCACCTTCACATAGAGCTATCTATTGATATTAATTGAACGTCATTCAATTCCTAGAAGTTCTTCTGCCTGTGAAATCACGTGGAGTTAAGTAACGAAAGAATACATTGATCTGTCTTGTTTAAAATAGGGCTGCTTACATATACGTGTATATTTACTGCTCTGGAGGCAGAACTGAGGAAGAATCAGATTAGTATTATGAATCAATTTCAAGGCATTTGATAATAAAAATGCACGGTGATGATGGGAAGTGCTGCTTCAGCTTCAAGGTTACATTGGCAGCGCAGATATATTGTTTCTTTACCGAATTTCTGAACGTTATTGATGTCTTTTTAGGAGGAGTCTCCTAAAAGGGCTAAGCTAGAGAAGCCAGAAGCTGTCAGCCATCTGAAGGAAGATTCAGAGCAAGCTAAATGTGAAGAAAGCCTTTCAGAATCTCAGAATTTTGACGAAGGAACAGACATCAATGAGTTTGGCAATGACAATTGCTGTGCAGGAGACATGCATGGAGATGGAGGATACTACGGTGTGGATCTCCAAGACCAAGATGAAGGAGAGGAGTATGATAACTACTACAACAATTTTGGTGACGAGTAAGAAATCTGAGTCCGGACCATTTTTGCAGAGCAGCTGGTTACAGAAAATAGGAATTGCCACCGGTTCTTGAAGCTCAAATTTTGGTTCTTGAATACTTTTCATAACGAGATGAGAAGATGTTTTTGATTCACATAAGTTGAGAGTACAATTATATATGAGTTCACCCATTGGAAGAGACATTGTTTTCCTTTTAGATAAAAGCAGGCTTCGTAAAATGCTTCAATGCATTGAAGTGTGTTTTAAATGAACGAAGCAACATAGCTTCATCTGTAAAAAAACAAGAAGATTTACAGAGAAAGATTACCAGCAAGAATGAATCGAATTTTGGGCTGAGCTTTATAAGAAAAAATAACCTTCAACATGTTGGTAAAGTACCAATTAGAGAGCCTTCGAGTGGACAAAACAGGCGTTTCTACCATTGGGATACTGGGTCAACAGCTTCAGAGAAAGCTCTATATGCTGTGTCTTTCAAATGTTTTCTTCTCAGGTCTTCTCTAAAACAATGGAAAACCCAGCATATTTCTCTTCATCTTTGAGAAGAAAAGCCTTTTCCCTTTGCCCATTATCTATGATGCTCGACCAGGGCTTGGGATGTCCAGTTTAATGTGAGCTTCATTCTCCGGGTTTTCTTCAAGCTCCTTCAGTCTATTCACAACGTTCTGAGCTAATTCTCCATAAGCTTTAGACACTACAGAATCGGGAGAGGACAAAACTACCGGTAGACCTTCGTCAGAACCTTCTCTAATCTTCATTTCAAGCGGAATCTGAACCACAAAACCGAAGTGCTTATAACAGTCCTCGAAAGTGTAACACTGTAATCAACTAACTCGCAGAAAGACCATGTTTACAGATCATATACCTCACCAACAAGTTTCAGACCCTTCTTCACTGCAGTCCTTCGTGCTCCTTCTTTACCAAAGATGAAAGAAGGTTCGTTACAGTGAGGACACACAAAGCAACTCATGTTCTCCACAAGTCCCAAAATCTGTATAAAAACGTAAAGATCTAAGTTTTTTTCTGATCAGTTTGTCGTCAGATTGAAAAGAAGAAAGTATCAATAACAGGATGATGTGCTGTACTCGCAAATGTGCTAGTGTTTGGATCACTTAAAGCAGAAGACTTAAGTAGAACCAAGGGCTTTAGAAATGTGTTACACTACTTATCTAGCAGGAATAGGCAGGATAGGTTAACATACAGGTACTCTAACTTTCTCGAACATGGAAATTCCTCGATGAGCATCAATGAGGGCAACATCTTGAGGAGTTGAAACAATTAGAGCACCTGGGTAGAAGAGGATAAACAAAACAGATCAATCACTTGTTCCAATTAGGGATACAGCTAAGCATTGCATCCCCATAATACCACGATAAGGACTATGTCCTGCAATGTTTAGATAAATAGCAAATTTTCTGTATTGATAAAAGAGGGAGACAAGTACATGTAGGTGCACCACACACAGACATTCGTGTATAGACCAACCTGAGAGTTGCAGATTTTGGGATATGGTTATTTGGGCATCACCAGTGCCTGGTGGCATGTCCACAACAAGAATATCAAGATTTCCCCAATCAACTCCCCTTGTCATTTTTGCAAGAGCGCTCATTACCTGTTAAGGTTATAGTCAGCTCATCACTGAGAAGAATAAAAATATTAAACCTTTATGCAACAGACGAGATAGAAGTGTAGGCTTATCGAGTTATGTGACATGCTCTCCTATGTCAGCTTTCTGCTTGCATACACAAAAAATACAAAATAATTTAGTGACATACCATAGGGCCTCTCCACACAATTGGTGCATCCTTCTCTACAAGGAGTCCCATTGACATGCATTTAACCCCATGGTTCTCAACTGGAATCATCTTCATATCTACAAATAAAGAAAATATAAGCAATATAGTTTTAGTAATACTAAAGATGTGATGGAGCAGAAGGACATATTAAGAATTTGGAAGTAACTCTTGAAGAACAATATAATTTTAGTCTGTAATCTCAATAATTACAGTTCAGTTAGATCCAATCAATTGCATAGGAGCAAAGGATAGATCATACACCAATTCTGCAGAAATGACAAGAATGTACAATGACAGAAAATTGGAGAAAGACAAACCCATTATGCGAATAGATAGATGGGTACGCTGTATATAAAGGCGGAAAAAATATATATCAGGGAACACACATACTATACTATACATGACTGATCAGACGTAACATTTACCTTCGCTCACTTCAGGCTTTTGATGAATATTCATCATGATTGGAACAGATGGTCCATAGACATCCGCATCAAGCAATCCAACCTTCAATTGGGATTTGTTGGCTAGTGCAACGGCCAAATTAACTACCATGCCAAAACACAAGTTATCACATCACTATACACACAGCCGAAACAACACTAACGAGTAGATACAATAACAAGTTTAAACCGAAACACCCATAGCTACGACTACGAGAACCATCAATATAGTGAAAGTGCAAAGAGTTCAGACAAATGTGAAGCTATCCCGTCTGGTAATGAAAACAATGTCTAAGCCTTTTTTTTTTGTTTTCAGTATCACATCACAATAACATAGCAAAGCAATGAACAATCTGTGGAGACATAAAGAAACGATTTTGAGCACAAAACTACACAACCCATAACTTTTACCCGACATGAGGAATCAACCAGAATACGTAGGAGATAAATATCGAAAGAGGAAATGGAGTACAAAAAAATACCAGCCGTGGTCGACTTCCCAACTCCGCCTTTACCGGAGGCGACGGCAATTACATCTTTAACTCCATGAATCCGAAGCTCTGTCTTGCGTCCGACCGCGTAGCTCCTGACGCCATATGGTCTCTGCCCATTGCAAAATGAAGAAACGGTTACGAAATTTTCCCTCGAAGAGCACTATAGTGGGAAAATCAGACATGGGTTTCGAGTATTACAGTGGTAGATCGCAACAAGCGTAAAGCTTTCATTCTCTAAGAAGCCAAGTACTCCAAATATGAATCACAGATTACGACCACTGACAAAAATTTGCAACTTTTCCGAGAAAATGGAAGAAAACGAAGGAAAGTCGATGAATTTCTGTCCAGGAGAGGGAGAGGAGAGAACCACTGAAGAAGAAAAGCACAGTTTTTTTTTTTGTTCCCTGATCATTCTTGCGCTTTACATTGACACGAAGTAGAAGAAAAACCAGACCGAACCGGTCGAACAGCGACCCGGATGGCCATCCCTCCCGGTTATCAATGAAACCCAAAACCGGTTAAGAACCTCCCAAACCCTAAGCAAAGCAACTTGTAGCGTGTGTTTTTTAATACAAGAACAAGAAGCGTTGTTTCAGATTTTTTTTTTTTTTTTTTTTTT